TTTTGAGCCGAGCGGACCCAAGAAGCTGCCCGTGAGCCGACCTGGCTTTGATGCGGTGATCCGTATTGACCCGTCCAAGCAGCTCAGGTGCGACCCGAACCGCAAGTTTGGCCGTAGCAAGGAGGAAGCCCTGAGGAAGTACGTGGAGGAGGGCCTGAAGACTGGCATGATTGTGGAGTCCGAGTCCGCGTTCTGCTCCCAGCCCATGTTCGTCAAGAAGGGTGATGGCTGGCGCGTCTGTATGGACTCCCGGCGTCTGAACGAGGCGACGATCAGGGATCGGTACCCGTCGCCTGATGCCTTGGCGCTGATTGACAAGCTGAAGGGCGCGAAAATTTTCAGCAAGTTTGATCTCACGAGCGCGTTCTGGCAAGTGAGATTGAGCGCCGACAGTGAGAAATACACGGCGTTCCCGTGCGACGGCAAGCTGTACCAGCACAGGGTCATGTGTTTCGGGTTGGTCAACGCGCCGGCGATGTTCCAGCGCCTGATTAATGAGGTCATGGGCCCGCTCTCCGCTTTCGCTGGAGGGTACTTTGACGACATTATTGTGTTCTCCAAGACGCCGGAGGAGCACGAGCTCCACGTGAAGCAGATGCTGGCTCGGCTGAGGGAGTTTGACCTGTACGTCTCCTTGAAGAAGTGCGTGTTTGGCACGTCGAGTGTCGACTTCTTGGGGCGGCGGGTCAGCGAAGCCGGAGTGGCGGTGGATCCTCGCAAGGTGCAGGCAGTCCTCAACTGGAAGCCGCCGACGGACGCGACTGGTGTGCGTGAGGTCAACGGCCTCGCGTCCTTCATGAGGCGTCATGTGCCGAACTATGCCGAGCTGGCGCGCCCGATGACGATGCTGACGCGGAAGAATGTTCCGTTCGTCTGGTCGGCAGAGTGCGAGAAGTCGTTCCGCGCGATCCAGCAGGCGCTCGTCCAGGCACCGGTGCTGGCGTACCCCGATACGTCACGGCCGTTTGAGATTTTCTCGGATGCGTCGGATCTCGCGTTGGGTGGTGTGTTGATGCAGAGGTCGGAGTCCGGCGACGGTCTGCATCCGGTCGCCTACTACTCGCGCGTGTTCACGAAGCCGGAAATCAACTACTCGGTCTACGACAAGGAGCTGCTGGCTATCCTGGAGTGTCTCCGCGAGTGGCGACATTACGTTTGCGGTTCGGGCAAGATCACCGTTTGGTCGGACCACAGGAATTTGCAGTGGTTTACGGAGACGCGGGAGCTGACGGCGCGCGAGGCTCGGTGGTGCGAGATGCTGGGCGAGTTCGATCTGGTCATCAAGCATCTGGAGGGCTCCAAGAACGGTGCGGCGGATGCGATGTCCCGTTCGGCGTCGGGAGCTGGGCCGAAGGAGAAGCTTAAAGGCCGGGTGTTGGACCCCGAGTTGTTGGTGGCTCCAGTCGCTGGCGAGGCCGGTGACGAGCAGAGCGAAGATTTCGTGTTCTCGCCCGGGGCGACTCTGCCGAGCGCGCCTACGGTCATGACGCCTACTGCCATTCGCGAGGCTTTGCGGAAGGCGGTGGCCGAGGGGGAAGAAGAAGGAGTAGAGCTTCTATCCTCCAAACGATACCAACTTCACGACGGTCTCATCAAGCGCGAGGACCGAGTGTTCGT